CCACGTTTCTTATGCTTCGTCGACCCCTCTATGTGCTGTTTACTGCACATTGACAGCGCCGGATAATTTTATTCAGTTTGAGGCTAGTGGTTACACAACAGACATAAAAACATGGATGATCGACGCAGTTCACTCGATTTACAGATAGAACCGATTGCCTAACTGTCTTGTTCGCGCACCCCATGCCACTACCGCTATGCATCGCACAGCTCTGTCCTGACGAGACTGGGTCTCTGCATGCTGCGGCCGTTTGCATACGTCTCCGATTGATTGAACTGTAGTTCTCAGAAAGCCCGAGGGTGTATAGAACTAAGTGTAAATTAATAGCATTGGGCAGTAGTGTGGTAATTCCGTGTTGCATAGTACCTTTGACACTACGGGGGCTACGGTCAGCACACGGATCAACCGCGGGCAAAGAGAACTTGGAAGCCCACCCTGCAATAACTTAAGGTGCCATTGTTAATCAGTATGCTTGCAGACGGCAGTTCACGAGAAGGATTCGCATGTACAACTGAGATGGATGACCACTGCAACTCAACTGGTGATCGCTCCTGCTGCGTGCAGCCAATAATGGGAGAGAATGCTCAGCGCAGTCTGGTAAGCGCGCGGAAGTAATACATTCTGGATCCGTACCCACAATAGGTACGCACTCACATGGTATCAAATGCGCATGCAAGCTTGACTTGCTAACTTGTCTATCTTAGGGCACGAATGCCGAAAGCCATCAACAAAATTTGGCATCTTTCTTTCATAAGGGATTGTTGAGGTTGAGAGGCCATGGGTGCTGTGGCGAGAATGGTACAGATGGCAGAACTTCAATAGTACTGCAGCTGGCGTCACTTGCTCTGGGATTCACAGTGCGGAGGTTATTAATGGGGATCGACAGGGATGTATGGGAAACAGATGAAATAGAAAGAAGGGAGTTTTCTCGTAGATAATACCCATGGAAAAATAATAAAGCAAGGTTGCAAATAGCTCTCTTTTCGGTAGTTCACATCAGGCGAATACAGCAACAGGACTGATAAATGCAACAGTCTTTAGGATACCTGTTTTTGTTGCAAGCATTCCAGTATACGTAGAATTTCTGTCCTTGCTTCTGCAAGTCTGGCATTGAACTTCAGACATCTGTGGAAGTCGGAAAATGCGGAGGGTTTCAACTCGGTCTTTTCGGTAGTTCACATCAGGCAAATACAAGTATAGGACTGACAAATGCAACAGTAAACTGGTGAAGGCAAAAATGAGGACAGATGGGACGGTTTGAACAGATTTAGCATGTTCGTTTGATGCTCAAATCTATTTAATCAGGTGACGTGATGAGGCTAACAGAATGCGGAACATGTGTAAACAAAAGAGGTAAAATACTAGCAAAAATACCAGATACATAAATAAGTAGCACCAGGGTATGCGTTATGCTCCAGGGGGAAAGAATTAAAACAGATGAACTTGATAACCAATGTTCAGATTCAGCACTTCACTTGGCTCCTAACCTCCTCGGCTCTACGGATTGCCTAAAATACACAAGCCTCATGTCCCTCTACGTCCAATAATTGACATGTCCACTTCTGCACACCACTTGGTTACGAAATGGATTGTACAATTGTTGGAACCTGTACGTAAGGAGCTTTCTATCCATTCTCTGAAGGATTCGTTCGAATTCGTTAATAAAGTCAAATACATGAAGTTAAACAGTAAACTAATGCTTTCTTTTGATGTAGAATCACTTTTTACAAACGTCCCATTGCTAGAAACTGTTAATTTCATCTGCGTGTATATAACGAAAAAGAGCCTAAACGTTGACATTCCAGTGCCTAAGCTCAAGGAGCTACTTTTACAGTGCACCTTTAATAGACAGTTCTCGTTTGAAGGGATATATTATCGACAAATCGATGGCGTGGCGATGGGGTTTCCCCTTTTACCCCTCCTTGCCGACATTTTTCTCGCAAAGCTTGAGTATGGTCCCATCCGAACGATTACTGCTTTATTTGATTCTTATTGGAGATATATGGATGACACTCATCATCTGTGATTTTCGCACTGGTGTCAACCGTGTGCTCGACCAGTTCAATAGTGGAGATAACGCCTGCGACCTCCTGAACCGGAGATATTCTGGCGCGTTAGCAAGGACCTACCATGCCGTCAACCCGCACGTTATTGCGGAGACTACACCCTTTATACTTCAACGTCTTAAAGACAGATTGCCAATGTCGTCCGAAGCGTACATTGTTTACCAATTTACTTGCACCTGTGATGCCAAGTATCTCGGGCATACGACCAGGCGTCTGTCGGTAAAGATGGCTGAGCATTGTCCAGGGTCATTGCGGTGACGCACGCATCAACAGCTCGAGCTTGGAACATTTGCTTCAAAGTAGGCATCAGATTTTGACCAAAGATGTCTTCAAGGTCTATTATGCCGTACCGAGGCGATACACGAAAGAGTTAAGGAAACGCCTCTTGCAGATGGCTGAAGCCATCGTGATCTGGCTAACACAGCCAGAGCTATGCAAGCATAGGGTGCTTGTGCAACCCTTGACTTTGCTATGATCTTGAATAGAAGTCCGGAGTATTACGCATAACCGGGTGCTATTTATTTATGGAATTATCTAGTTTTTATTTTGTTGGTGTTTTTGCCTCCTCTGTTTACACGTTGTTTCGCTGTCTGTTAGTCCTGTTACGACCTCATCTGATTAAGTCGATTTGAGCATCGAACGAACGTCCCAAACCGTCCCATCCATCCTCATTTTTGCCTTCACCAGTTTACTGTTGCATTTATCAGTCCTGTCGCCATATTTGCCTGATGTGAACTACCGAAAAGGGAGATTTCCTCAGAATTTTGCTTTTCTCTGTTCGTCCTGCCGCTTGCGGAAGATAAGATGACTGTTGTGGAACTGCTTCGTGGTCGATGTAGAACGAGCCCGGAGTTTACTGCGAAAGTCAGGGGTACACACATTAACTGGGATACTACCGGGAGACTAGATCACAAGGCAGCGGCAACCCTCTACAAAATACATTATTTCATCCTATCACTATCCTTCAACCGTGAGAATCAATAACTGAGTTTGTTCCACCTCCAGTCTAGATAGTGGGAGTCATCTCAGCTAACTTATGCGCATCGATCACAGTGGCAACCTTCAAGGCACACAGTTTGCGCCAATTATAGGTTAGACTCAAGTACTGTCAAAGTGAACGGCCTTCATTCTCCTCCATCGCCCTACTACGGATTGAGAATTCCGAGTGAGAAAATCACAAACAGCTTTGAAACCAGATCAGTCTGTAAAGATCATGCTTTCCCCTCACGTCAAGTGCGAGAGCGATTCCACATGTATACTACGTGTCGACTATAGCTGTGTTCTGTTTCAGGACCGTGTTTCACTCGATCTATTGCTTCATTCCACTTAGTGTACCTGCTCGGCAAAATGCTCTTACTACTTGAGTTGTTCATCTATCCTGTTCCAAAACCTAAGAGATAGAGTCATGATCTATTGTGAATTGTTCACCCTCTTCCCGACAATAATTTCTGTTCGTTGAGTTTACCCGATTTCTTCGCTGCTATCCATTTTTATTACGCACCTCATCGTAGAGCATTCCTTTGCGAATTCTCACCATACAAACGATTGGTTGCCACCCAGGGGAAACTGATTGCTCTGGATTAAGCGGACACCACCTTCTTTCCACTGGGCAACAGTGTGACAATATAATCAATTGACTCCATCTTTCACGGAGTCCACCAGTTGTATGCTACTCATTTTCCCCTTGACAACGATCAGTTGGGGATTTTTATCAGTTCACGTATCTTGACAACTGCGTTACCGGGTACAGGTGTGTGATTGTTGCTGAAGTTAGTTCACGCATCAGGCATCAGCAGTACGCCGGTACACAGTACCGACACTTCGCTGCCGCGCAGCTACCACCGGTCGCACTTGGGCTAAGAATACTGCGTGGGTCGTCCTGCCTCTACGCTGCCCCTAACCTGCACTGTCAGATTACAGGACAAGCTTGTTACCTTTAGGCTGCTGGTCAGAGTTCACGCATCACGGAACTATGACTGCATTCATGAATCCGTGACACCTGGCTCGAAACTCAGACGCCAAGATACAGCTATGTTATTCTGCAAGGTCAAGTCGGCGCAAACCCTAAATTTATTGACCCCAAAATCGCTGCAATAATGACGATATTAATGGGCTGATGCTATTCCCCCTTGGACTCAGCTAAATAGCTTACTTTCTCGCACCTAACGTCACCCAGTCCGTGACACCACGTAGGCAGACGACTGTGCCTGATTCGTCCAATCGCCAAAGCCGTGCTCGCATCTGATTAGCCATATAACATCCCTCTAGTCCAGGGGTATCCAAACATTTTGCAAGAAGGGCCGCATTTTGTGAGGTACAAATATGTCAGGCCATTTTCAGTCTGACATTAAGATACTAATAAAAATTACACATGTACGAAAATGTCCAAGCTTGAATTTATTATTTCGAGGCCGCTGGCCAGTTGACGTATTAACGCGGACTGCATTTAGCCCGCGGGCCGGACTTTGGACACCCCTGCTCTAGTCCATCTATTCACACCGACTGCTTCTTGGATGGATGCTACCACTTTACGTGTTTTCGCAGATACCGTGCTCCCCTGGCTCCTTAACGCAATGCTCTGTGCGCTTCATTGGGTTATCAGTAACCGGCAGATTCAACGTGCGGATGGTCTATAGCATGTACAATCACGAGTTTGTACTTTAACTTTTGTGCAAACAGTATCAGTCACCTCCCTCAGTTTTTTTCATCTGTTAGACTGCTGCTGAACTAGTGTCACAACGGCTTCTTCAGTCCGTGGATCCATGTTACTTTTCTTATTATACACTGATATGGGATTAATGATGCTTTGTTTGAGATGATTTGCCACTACCCTGACTTTTTCTACTTCGCTTTACATTATGGGTAATAACTGGACAGAAAACAGTTAGCGTTGGCGGACTTCCATTTTACCCTACTGACTATTTCCAATTTAGTATGAATTGTTACCTCGCACAATCACACCATTTTCAAAATCGTTTTGCTTACTATTTTAGTGGACCTCTTGGGAACTTGCCTGTTTCCAACCTCTCCGGTTTGGCCGAGGTGCCGAGCACGACATCTTCCACGTCCGGCAGCCAAGATGACTCCGGGAGGGTAAATTTCTCCGTTGCCTCGGCCAAGTCATCAACAATGGGCACAAACTATTCCCCCTCCGATTCAACTTCGATCCACTCAGGCACGCAAGGAGCACTTGAAAGTGTTACTCCCACTGGCAGCTCAGGCGGGTCTCCGGTGTCACAAACCGGCGCAAAGTCTGGCGCGGGTGGGAGCAACGATGATCAGTCGAAACCTCGCAGTCTTCGTTTCACTTGGTCTATGAAAACCACTAGTCACATGCCGCCCAATGATATGATCCGAGAAATTAAAAAAGTTCTCACTCTCAACGACTGTGAGTACGAGCAACACGAGCGCTTTCTGCTCATCTGTAAGCACGGTGACCTGAACACCGATTCCTGTGTCCAGTGGGAAATGGAGGTGTGCAAGCTTCCACGGCTCTCCCTCAACGGAATTCGTTTTAAACGAATCTCTGGGACAGCTGTGGCCTACAAAAATATCGCCTCTAAAATTGCCAATGACCTGCATATTTGATTGGTGCATTTGACTAATCTATCCGTCCATCCTGGCCCGCAGGAACTGCTGCATCTAGCCACTGCTCATTCTCGTCTGCGACACGATGCTACCACCCAGAACATTTCAGGTGATCACTCCACGTTCTCTATCCTGCCCAGTTGTCAAGTTGGGGTCTTGGTACCTCCGATCTGTACTTTCTTACTTTATCCCGTTGGTCGAATGTGCAGATCCATAGCGGTCGCCATAATTGTGCACCGGCTGCTAGAATGAGTAGTGCGCTTCCACTTGCGAAACCCAGTCTTCGGCTTATGGTTTCCAATCCAGCTACCTCTGATGCTGTTGCACATATAAAATCTGTCGCTATTTAACATGCCGTCGTTCACCTAGGCGTCGAGTCGATCCCGTGACTCCTTCATCCAAACCCCGCCATTACACTCGTGCCCGCCCCATTCTTATGCTCTCGCCAGATCCACATTCTTTCATGCGATTGCTCTACTTTGCGATCTGCATCATTTTAATACCCCACGCGCAACAGTTGTTCTACCCGTGTTCCCTCATTGCGTAGATGCTCCATTGTTGTCTAAGGCACATGTCCGCAATTTGCCTCGACATATGTCGGGAAGCCACCTTTTTTACACTTCACACGCTTCTCGCGGATAAATTTGGGTGCTGGTGTGTGGTGCGTGTCTAGAGATGGTTTCACTTTTTGTGTTATGCCACCTTCGATAAGATTTGCTCATGTAGGTTGCGTTATTAGTTCTTCCGCTTAGCGAACGTTTTGATTTTTTTCTGAACACAATTTACTTCTTATTCCCCTGTTTCTTACTACCTCTTCTGATGCGGGGTATTTTTCTACCTTTTTTCTTGGTCCACATCGGGGAGTTTGTTCAGCATCCGCCCCTACTCACTTTTGATGTACGCCTCCTGCTTTTGCCGCTTACTTACTCGTAATTTTTTTCTGATGGCCATCATCATTGACCACAGGCTTCTTTACCGAGCACACTATCGTACAGCATGCTAGCGCACCTCACATTTGCTCCTCATCTCTCTCTTCATCCACTTTGCAGTTCACAAATGTGAGCTCTTGTTATCGCGTCATATGAACTTACTTGGAAACAAGCTGTCCGCTATGTTCGTCCTTTTTATATTGACCTTCCCTATTTATCATTAATTTTGGTCGATTTACTTTGGGGGTGCTTTTGCCGTTTACATTTCTTTGTGTGTGATTCTTCCCTTCAACATATGTGTCCCCATTCCTCTTACCTCTGCTCCCCCCACGTCTTTCTCCTTCCCATAGAATGTGTTCGCATATTATATCGCCACTTCTTTTTGTCTTTTTATGTAACCTTGGCGCTCGCGCGCTCTCCTTTGTCAGGCGCCTCTCACCGGCTTCACAGTTATTTTCTGTGTGTGTATTGTGTGAAATCTTATCATCCACCCCCGGTTCGCATCTGGACATCTTTCATCTGTGATTGAGTGCGTATAGCACGAAGTCACTCAATTCAGCTCACGCAAATACGCATTGCGACCGCTCGGATGCGCATTCTTTCGTGTACAGATACTTAACGGACGGAACACGCTTTGTCGGCCCTCCCCCCCCTCATTTATGCTCCATCTTGTACATTCACACGTATTAACTAGCCACCGTGTTCCGATGTTTTCGCCTCAATGGGCTACTTCATTCTCATGCTTCCTTTTCCTTATGTTGTTTTTGTGGTCTTGCCCCCCCTCCCCTGATAACTTGATAATGCGCACCGAAGGGAACTGGGGAACACACCTCATTCGCGACGGCTCTTTTGGCGTCTCGTCTTCTTTTTCTGCCTGCTATCCCGTCTACTTGTCGTGCGCAATTTTTCGATTGTCTTGCAGACCACTGAGGAATAGAGAGTTCTTCGTCATCCAGGAAGGGTTAGTTCTTATCTATTTGTACGGGATGGGGTTTGTTTTCTTTACGTTTCGCTTGCCTCATGCTACAGTGCAGCGACATCCACAAGTCGCCTGACCTACGTGTTCGAAATCATCGGACCGTTGTAGGGTATTCCTCTTCTTGAATCAGTTGGTGCCTCTGTCTCTCCTTTTATTGGACTTTTTTGCCATAAACACCCCCTACTGATAGAACAGACGAATTTGACGTTTAAAATTAGCTACGTCCCTGTATGATGCATACAAATATTCAATTGCCTGAAATTTATCGATCTGCGTTACCCCACTTGCTTTACTATCAAGCGTCAGGATACCCCTTAAAATTTTTCCCCTCTGTAATAGTTAAAGAAATAAATGTTTTTATTCTCGGCTACGCGAAGCACTCCATTGAAGACATGATCATAGTAATAGTTCAATAATTGATCAAGAAATGCGCAATAGTATAACAGGATTTTCGTATATGGTGACCCATAAATATAGGTAGGTGTATTGTTCGTGTTTGTAAGTGTGTTACTGTTCTTTTGACTGAATTCGATTGCGTCGCCAGTGTCAAAAGGAACGTTTGACGTCTGTGGCTTTGATAAGATTGTCCGAGCAAGCAAGGGCAGTGACTTTATTTAGTGGCGAGTCACATCCGCCATGTCACACTGTTGTTAAGCAGACATTTGTTACTTTTCTGGGGGGAACGCTTGTCAGGCGAAAATCCACCACGTACTTTAACACTGCCGCCGAACTTTTTGCTGGAACGGGTTAAACCCGAACCACTCAGCTGGCACCACGGGGAGGTTGTTCGGCTTATCTGTAGGACCGCATTTATTGCTAAGCCATTCTCCGATGTCGGCTGCGCTTAGTCCACCTCGATTGGTAGCGGCTTGCAAAGGAAGTCGTGACCCTAGGGACCAACACTGTCCTCTGCATGTTCATAGCATGAATGACAGTGGAGGATGAGTCGCACTATATCGCAGTTAGATATCAGTCATGGAGGTCCGCTGCCGTCGCCCATGGCTCGCTGACTCGCAAGAGTAAGGTCGTGGATTCGAATTCGGCGGGTGCGTGCTACTGACGAGTCCCAATAGGACGAACCGGCCGTCTAACACCTTCCTGGATATGTGGCGGCTGTCTGCCTGAGTCTAACTGCGACGAATACTCACAAATATATTAGAGCATCGAATTGAACCTAGATCTCTGCGATTTTCACACCACAAACGTGCAAAAATTCTCGAGCCAAGGTATGCGGCGGTCCGAGGCAACCTGATTACGGCCGAGAAGTCAAAATGAGCACAACCGCGATGTGACAGGCGATAACTGGGAGCGGACGACAAATCACCAATAGACCAATTCGATGCAAAGATGTGAGTCGGCCCCGCATAAGGCCAATTGTCTCCGGGGTTACTTCGAGTATTTTTGGTCAATCCACCTAGTGAACTGGTCCTACATAAACAGTGGTAGAATGACTTTGACTTTGGGCCTATGCGTGGAATACATGACGAGAGCGAGGCGAATGTGTGTGATTCAAGTTAGAGACGTGTGAGCGGGGGGTCGAGAGGATTAGATTGATCGCAGGCGGGAGGGAACACCTTAGGAAATGACGCGGGTGATGTCAACTGTGGAACGGGTCCAGACAGTAGTGTTTCACCAATTTCTCGCGCGAAAATTTAATTTATCATATATGGTGAAATTAAAGCAGATCCCTTTACACAAGCGTATTACGGCATGAAAGTTAATTTTACGTCTGATGATACGCTTGCTACCCGCGATATAATTCAGTATGTGAATGCTTTAGGCAACACAAATCAATGTGTGCAGTGGTATAGTGATCCTCTCAATACATGCGATTGGTAGGAACGGGATATTATGAGCACACGGTTGCCAAGGTGGAAAATGTGTACGCATGTCTGCATGCAGCCTAACAAGTCTAAATACTGCTTTCTAATTTCCCTCATTTGGACGTTACGGTGGGGAGCAGAAACTAATTCCTTATATTCGAATTCTGAGAAATTGTCTTTTAAAACAAAGGTATGGGAATCTCGGCAATCGTAGGGAACATTAGCGCACTGGTTTATCAATTGCTTCCTGAAGACTACTAAATACCTTCACACTCAAAAAAACTTATTTGATTTTCTGGTGGGACGCTACCACCCAAGTAGAGTTTGGAGAAAGACATTCTGAACTGTGTGGACTCGTTGGGCTAGCAGTTCCTTGTCAATTACGGATAGTCCGCATGCGACTGGGCGAGTACAATGCGGACAACGGGTTGGACTAGTTCGGTGTGTTCACACTGAAAAATGTTCACTCTTCTGAACGCTTCGTTTCATCACTGCTTTTCTCTGACTAGTGGCCGAGCATTGGCACTGGAGTCGATAAGTGTGTGACATTTCTCTCAGAACTGTGCATTGACGCAGTTTCTCATCTCAACACCGGTCTTTACATATACCAGTTCTTAATAGAAAGGACGAACTACTGAGCACAAGGGAATCTGCGAATTGACAGCCTAGTAGGCCATTTGGACGTTTTATTTTTGACCCGTATCCAAAAATATCCAGTGTCATTAAGCTTTCCACTGCTACAGTAACACACCAACTTATTGGCTAATGGTCTGCCCTGGCAGTGCCTGTCGCTCACAACCGACAGGGAAACCAGATAAGTGTAGGCTAGCTTTTGAGATGCATGAATCCCCGAATCCAAGCTGCCCCGTCTAGTTTGTCACCACATCATAGGGCCTAGTGTCTGATAAGTCTTCTAGTGGAACCGCTACTGTTTTTTACCCTTTTGCAATCTGTTGAACTAATGCGCATGCTTCTTCGTCGTCTGCTAGCTGCCTGTACTTCTGTCATCCAAGTTTACATCTAAACTCGAAAGTCTCTGATCTTGAAAGCCAGTAGCACCAACAAATATGGTTGTTACATTTTCGTGCACCCGCCGCGTTTTTGGAACTTCGGTTTACTTGAGTGTGAACCACAGTTATTCTAATCACTGGGACCGCATCCGAAGTGTAGAGTTTTCTATGTTATTCTCAAGAGTACAGAGCCTTCGGAGTGAGCGATTCAGTTGAAGTCGAACACTCACTCCGTCTGATGTTCCGTCCTTGCTACCGA